AAAAACACTTTAGCTACAGCAGTCCTTCAGTCAAGAGCAGCGAGGGTTTTCTTGTTATGTTTGTTTAATAATAATAAAAACAGGCGGCAGAAGGATTATAGCGCGCTGTCTCTTTAATGGTTTCTCTTTCACGTCTTTTGATCCTCAACTCGTTTGTTTATTACACAAATGAGGGTTAATGTAAATAATCACTAAACACCGCGTTTTGACACCTATTTGACCATTAAAGCGCTCACGTTAAGATGACTTTAGATGTCTGCGCTCCTCTGCTCATCTCAGTGTGTGAATGAGAGTGAATGCTGACCGGCCGCATGCTTCTGACTGCGTGTACGTGCTGCACACACACATAAGCTCTTTCGCGCTTTTAAGAGCAACGCGTGTACAACTGGAACGTGGCAAAATATGATGCAATAATCATTTATCTCGATTAATGCTTTTTTATAATCGTTTGAAACCGAAATCTAAATCGGATTTTCGATTAATTGCAAAGCCCTTTATAATAGTGGAGCATTTTTATGCCCTTTTCTATCTCAATACTTATCCTCTCCCGCGCCCCCCCCTGTGAACTCTGGCGCCCCCCTTAGGGGGGCGCGGACCCCAGGTTGGGAACCACTGCCCTACAGAGTACAGACGCTGACGCCGGTCTGCACCTGCGTGCTGTCATTACGCGGTTGTTGATGTGAGGTTCAAAATGCAAAGATGGGAAAATGTAAATTTAACGACGTAGCAAAGAGGCAATGTGTAAATTCTGCAAAAAGAACTTTTCGTTAGGGACCATGGGGCTCAAAGTCGTCGAGTATCACATGAAAGGAGGAAAGCAGCAGCTGGACGTTGCAGCAGCTAGTCATAGCGGGTCCAGGTTAATCCCTGCATTGTTTGCAGCTCGACCTAACAATGTTACTAGTTCAGACTAAAGCTGAAGATCTTTGTTGGGTTCGAACTTTTCTATCATTTTAGACGGGGTTGTGCCAGGCTTGGGCTTGCTCAGTAAATGAACAGTCATGTGATGCATTTCGATTAGCGCGAGGAAGTAATCAAATTGTTTGTTACAACATTGAAATCCATCCCTGCAAAGGTGAATCAAATGATGACAGAGATGTCAAAAAGAGCTAATTATGTCAGCGGTCAGGCCAGCCAACAGTTTTATTCGAACAGTCATTCTAGCCGCTAAGGTATTTTGGCGGTCGCTCATACACTGCGTATTACGGTAGAGCACTAAGAAACTGTGTCCAGCGAGCTGACAGGACATGACGAGGACACTCGCGGCATTGAAACTGCTGTCATGGAGAATGAAATGAATGTTCTTGACTGGTGGAAGATGAACTAACAATCCTACCCAAAACATGCTAAATTAGCTGGATCAGTAGTGTGTCCCGGCCAGTAGCAGCAGCAGAGAAAAGGTGTTCAGTGCTGCTCAGTGAGCGCAGGACTGCACTAAAGCCATTTACAGTGGATTCAATAATGTTCCCCCACAAAACACATAACCTAATCTTGATGAGTAAAGAATTTCAAATTATAACTAAATATTAATAAAATCATAATGTATGCAGAGTATACAGGCTAATGCTGGCATTATTCTTTTATTATTCAGCTTCACCATCGCCTTATTGTGAAGAGAAGTGGCAAAACAAATCCCACTGAGCCTTTATCTTAATTTCGTTATTGCCAAATATCCGTCATCATTTATCATTTATTTTAATTCATTTGCTAAGAAAGACTTCTTTTTATTGGTGTGTTGGGCAATTTAAACGTTAAGTGTATGTACCCAGGCCTGTTTAGAGTGTTGAGATGTTAAGATGTTACAGAGGGCTTATTTTATTTTTTTTTGTTCCAACTTGGCCTGTAGCCTATGTTATGGATAAGTAATGTTAACGCATATAAACAACTCATTCATGAAAAAAGACAAAAGATCTGTGCATGTGCACATTTGGATAATGTCGGGCTATAAACGGGTTCAGGCTTTTAAAAAGCTGTCAATCAAAATGTACCTGTCGGGTTCGGGCTCTATTGGGCCTGCCTTTCATAGCCTGATTACAGCTCTAGTTCAGACGCCCCCTCACAGTCAGCTATAACAGTCTCATTCCACCACCAGACACCCAAAAGGCAGGTACTGCGGGTTATCCATACTGTGACGAGGCACAATTTATTTTAATCTAACGAAAACATTAAAATGAGTAGCCTATTCCAAAGAAATTATATAATTTTTGGGTCTGAAATTATATTATATAATAATAATAATAATAATAATAAAAATATATATTATATTTGTTGAGGTCTTAAAAAGGTCTTAAAAAGCATTAAATTTTACTTTTAAAATGGTGCAAGAACCCTGCAACTGCTCATTAATGTTCAATTTCAGTTCAGACAATCACATGGCAGCAACTCAGTGTTTTTAGGCATGTAGACATGGTCAAGACGATATGCTGCAGTTCAAACCGAGCATCATAATGGGGAAGAAAGGTGATTAAAGTGACTTTGAATGTGGCATGGTTGTTGGTGCCAGGCTGGTGTGAATATTTCAGAAACTGCTGATCTACTGGGTTTTTATTTCACAACCATCTCTAAGTTAATAAAGAATGGTCAGGAAAAGAGAAAATATCAAGTGAGCGGCAGGTCTTTGGGTGCAAATGCCTTGTTGATGCCAGAGGTCAGAGAAGAATGGCCAGACTAGTTCCAGCTAATAGAACGGCAACAGTAACCACTTGTTACAACCGAGGTATGGGATGAGCTACAGCAACAGCAGAAGACCACACCGGGTGCCACTCCTGTCAGCTAAAAACAGAAAACTGAGGCTACAATTCATACAGGCTTATCAAAATTGGACAATACAAGACTGGAAAAACATTGCCTCGTCTGATAAGTCTCAATTTCAGCTGCAACATTCGAATGGTAGGGTCAAAATTTGCCGTCAACAACATGAAAACATGGATCCATCCAGCCTTGTATCACTGGTTCAGGCTGCTCTGTACTGCCTGCACACACTGACCCTCTGCAATTTGCATACAGGAATAACCGCTCAACTGATGATGCAATTGCTTTCACCTTGCACACTGCTCTGTCTCACCTAGAAAACAGAGAACACACCCCCATCACCATCATATGGGATGCCAGTGGAGAGAGTCAGCACTTTCAAGTTTCTTGGAGTACACATCGCTGAGGATTTGACATGGACTGCTCACACAGACGCAGTGCTGAGGAAGGCACAACAACGCCTCTTCTTCTTCAGGCGTCTCAGGAGTTTTGGAATGAGTCCCCACATCCTCCGCTCATTGTACACATGCACTGTGGAGAGCATCCTGTCTGGCTGTATCACCACCTGGTACAAAAATAGCACCAGCAGCAATCGCAAAAGCCTACATAGGATTGTGCGAACTGCTGGAGGCGTAGCAGGAGGTGAGCTTCCCTCCCTCCAGGACATCTACACCAGGCGGTGTATGAGGAAAGCCAAGAGAGTTATCAGTGACTCCAGCCACCCAAGCCATAGACCTTTCTCTCTGCAACCCTCAGGCAGACGGTTCTGCAGCATCCGGTCACGCACCAGCCGACTGAAGGAAAGCTTCTTTCCTCAGACTATCAGGCTGATGAACACCTAACACACCCAACAGACTCTTCCATACCCCTCACGGAACACCATCAATATGTAGCATGCACTGCACTTTAATCAATCCACACTTGAAACAATACTGCCTACAACTATGTGGATGCCTATTCATTGTACATATCGCTGTCAATTTCACATTGTCGCTGTATTTGCACTGTCTGTATTTTGTACTGTCTGGAGCCAGCACCTAAGCTTTTCACTCATCATAGCACACGTGCTGCTGATGATGTGACAATAAAAGTGATTTGATTTGATTTGGTGGTGGTGTAATGCTGTGGGAGATATTTTCGTGGCTTACTTTGGGTTCATTAGTATCAATTGAGCATTGTGTCAACACCACAGTCTACCTGAGTATTGTTGCTGACCATGTCCTTCCCTTTATGAACACAGTGTACTTATTTTCTGATGGCTACTTCCAGCAGGATAAAGCACCATGTCATAAAGCGCGAATCATCTCAGACTGGTTTCTTGAACATGACAATGAGTTCACTGTACTTAAATGGCCTCCACAGTCACCAGCTTTCAATCCAATAGAGCACCTTTGGGATGTTGTGGAACAGGAGATTTACATCATGGATTGGCAGCCAATAAATCTGCCGCAACTGCGTGATGCTGTCATATCAATATGAACCCAAATCTCTAAGGAATATTTCCAGTCCCTTGTTGAATCTATGCCATAAAGTATTAGGGCAGTTCTAAATGCATTCTGAGTCCAACCTGGTACTAATAAGGTTTACCTATTAAAGTGGCCGGTGAGCACTTAAAGGAAAAAACAGTTCTGCCAAAAAAAAAAACATTCCTCATTATTTACTCAAGTAGCTCATTTATTTTAGTTTCTTTCTTTTGTTAAACCACAAATATTATATTTTGAAGACAACTGGAAACCTGTAACCATTGACTTCTACAGTATTGTTTTTCCTACTATGGAGGTCAGTGGTTACAGGTTTCCAGCTTTCTTCAAAATATCTTTTTTTTATGTTCAACAGAAGAAAGAAAACCGTAAAGTTTTGGAATCGCTCGAATGTGCGTAAATTTTCATTTTGTAGTGAACTATCTCTATAAGAAGCTTTCAAAGCTGATTTTCAGATTTCAGAAAATAATACCCTCTCTGAATGTAGCTATTAAAGAGACAGGATCCTTAAATTATTTGTTTCAGACACTCTGAGAAATGATTCAGAATCTGTTGCAAATGGGTGTAAATCATTTGACTTCCAAAACAAAATGAAGGAACTTTAATATAACAATGTGTTTAAAAAAGCGCACAGACTGACTAAACGTAAGTGTAGGGGAAGTAGCTTTGTATTAAAGTCTCTGCCTGTGTATAATAAATATAAATGTGTATATATATATATATTTTATCCTAGACTCACATGGCCTTGCATGCATGTTTGAGGCCTCATAAATGCACCAGCTGCAGTTTTGCCTCTAAAAACATGAAAGACCTGCGACACCACATGATGACACACACCAACGAGAAGCCTTACTCCTGCCAGGTGTGCGGCCAAAGGTGAGCAACTGAGAAAGAGTCGTTCAAATAAATTAGCAAATCTTAGAATTTGTGCTCTTTACACTATTATTACAAATAGATCCATAAATGCTTTCCCAGCTTGAAAAAATTGGCAGTTTACACACTCACAGGCCATCTAAGATGCGGAGGATTTTTTTAAATTAGATTTTTAGCTGAAACCGTAATAAATTGCCAGTGTAAACAACACAGAAACACCTTGGCCCTCATATTGAAACTCTCATAAATTGTTTTTAGGTTCAACCGTAACGGCCATCTGAAGTTCCACATGGAGAGGCTTCACACTCATGAGCCGTCTCTCCGTAAAGCTCACTCCGTCCCCTCACAGCAGACCATCATCATCAACAGCGATGAAGAAGCTTTAGCCACACTGCAGAGTAAGTGCCGGAATGAATATAATAGAGTGGAGGAACTATGATGTCAATTTGTTGCAAAAATCCTGAAGCGAGTTCCGGTTCCCTTGTCCCAAAGTCAATGGGTTTTTTAAAATGTGATTTTGGTTAAATCACTTAAATAAGGTTTGTGGCTACCACAAACTCAAGATACTACACTTTATTTTACAACACAAAACACATCAGATACATCCCACTTTTTTTTTTTTTTTTTTAATCAGACATTGGGCCCTATCATACACCCGGCGCAATGTGGCGCAAGGCGCAGCACAATACTCTTTTGCTACTTTTAGCTCGGCGCAAGGGTCATTTTGAGGTTTTGCGCCACGCTGTTTAAATAGCAAATGCATCTGCGCTCAAATGTGTGTCCATGGGCGTTCTGGTCTAAAAAAGCAGGCGTGTTTTGGCGCGTTGCTATTTTGAGAAACTGTAAATAGTCTGATCTTTAGACCAGAACAAAGTCGGTCTATTGTCTGGCGCAAAGTGCGCCTGGCTTACACACTACACACAAGATGCAGAGCAATACGCAAACATCTTTACATATGAAAAATATATAATATCTTAAGGATGGATATATATATATATATATATATATATATATATATATATATATATATATATATAATAAGGATATATACAGGATATAAATGATTAAAATATTACAAAACATATTAATTTCTAGCCTACATGAAGATTTAAAAAACCACTGCCTTACTTTCTTCTTCTCGGGAGGCTTTTTCAGTTCATTCAATTTGCTTTTGTATAATGTTATTATTATTAGCAGTATTATTAATTATATCCATATTTATATTTGTTTTATTAAAAACAAGCTTAGATTTGTCCACCTGTCAAATTTTAGACCATATGGGGCATGGCAGGTGTATTTGGAAATAACTCAGTATTTTGACCACACTTGGTTATTATTGTTCATTTATTTGTTTGCTAGAAATTAGAACTGAATTTAGAAATAGTTTTTAAACAAATCTTTGCGCTTAACAAATGAAATTAATTATTTACAGGCTAATTGAGTCTGTGCGTAAAGGTTTTCCTATCCACAAGAGCAAAAGCGAAAGTGAACTTGCAGCTGGCTCTTAAAGGTAATTGGAGATGAGGCTTTAATTGGTTTATTTTCAAAACACAGCTATAACTCATTAAGAAAATAAGCTCAACCCTTTTAGACCATGCGCCATGGCGCAAAGCGGATTTTCCCGTCCTTAAATTAGCAAAAATGCGTTCTGACACGCCCTGAAAGCTTTTGAGCCCTGCGTTTTGTGCTCTGCGCATGGACCGTCAAAATAGAGCCCATTATACGTCATAGGAGAGGCAGTGGCGCAGTAGGTAGTGCTTTCGCTCACAGCAAGAAGATCGCTGGGTCGCTGGTTTGAACCTCGGCTCAGTTGGCGTTTGCATGTTCTCCCTGCCTTCGCGTGGGTTTTCTCCGGGTGCTCCGGTTTCCCCCACAGTCCAAAGACATGCAGTACAGGTGAACTGGGTAAGCTAAAATTGTCCGTAGTGTGTGAATGTGTGTGTGGATGTTTCCCAAAGATGGGTTGTGGCTGGAAGGGCATCCGCTGCGTAAAAACTTGCTGGATAAGTTGGCGGTTCGTTCCGCTGTGGCGACCCCAGATTCATAAAGGGACTAAGCCGACAAGAAAATGAAATTAAACATTATACATCTTCAAGCTGAACTACTCTGGAATGCGGCCCGCTTTAAATTTACAGCTTGTGTTGGACATTTGGATTTGTCTGTTATTTGGTGAAAGTGTTTTCATAAATCATATTTTATATAGGTTGTAGTTTTTTTCTTATTGGGCCTTCATATTGAGTGAAGATAATGACCATTATGACAAATTCATTTGTTTTATCAGGGTTAGGGTATCATTTATTTAAATAAAGCTATTTAATGAAGATTCTGCTTACCATAGGACACCCGGTCTCTTTCCTGCTCTCAGTAATGCAAAGTTGTGAATAAATTTGTAAAATATATATAAATATTTACTGACATTTTAACATGATCATTTTACATTAACGTACATCTAATGATTTTTTTGTCTTTTTTTCTTCATCTGAACAAATTTTTAACTATAAATGCAATATTTATACTCCTCCTTAAACTCTTTTACACTCACCTTAAAACGTATATCATATGTGACTGTATGGGCTGCTTTTCTCAGTACTTCATAAAAAAACAAAAGAATATTAATGTTCTCTATCCATGATGGCATTTGCAGGGATTTGATAGACTTGTCCCTTATTTCTGTTGTCCATGAAAAAGAATATGGGATTTTTAATTGACAGTCATAGCTAGGTTTTCACTAAGGTTAACGGGCTATGTGCACCCAGGCAATACACTTATTTAAACATGTGTTATGATAAGAATATATAGGCACATTTCTAAAACAGTACAGTAAATGTTTGAAAATTTATACAACAACTGTAAAGCAAAACAAATGTATTTTTCATTGGGAAACTATCCAAAAGGCATGTACTGTAGGTCTGTATAAATGTCGTGTGAAGATTATCCGGTTGGACAAAATGTGTAAGTGTAATGAACTGTGTTTGAACACAGAGCTAATTATTTGCAATCTTCGAGAAGTCTATGGGAAAATCTTTTGGGGATTTTATTGAAAAGAAACAGTTTTATGCTAGCAGCTGAATGGCCTACAAGGTGACGTCATAGTTCCTCTACTCTGTAGTCACACAGCCCTGGTCTGTTTATTAGACACATCTTGTTACTTTGTTGCATTAAATTACTACTTCTGTGATTTATAGATTTGCAGGCGGGTCAAACGGTCATCAGCCCAGAGAGATTATAGCAAGCGTTGGGTCAGAAACACATCATTGTGGCTCAGGATTAAAGTCTTTCTGACTTTCTCATTTACAGCCTGTATTTAATGTTGGGTGGTTATGGAAAATCACAAAGAAGAGTATTACATTTGATATTGTATCCAATACAAGGTGGTTTAGATTTTATAAAGTGATAAATGTAATATAAATTCAGGTTTTAAAGGCATGTTTTAAAGGCAGAAACACATCATTGTGGCTCAGGATTAAAGTCTTTCTGACTTTCTCATTTACAGCCTGTATTTAATGTTGGGTGGTTATGGAAAATCACAAAGAAGAGTATTACATTTGATATTGTATCCAATACAAGGTGGTTTAGATTTTATAAAGTGATAAATGTAATATAAATTCAGGTTTTAAAGGCATGTTTTTGATAAAACGCTTCTTTTCTTAGGAGGAGGCGGCATATATTCAGCAGATCACAACAGTAGATGGACAGACCGTACAGCACTTAATGACCAGAGACAACCAGGTCACTGAGGTATGACTCATTTATTAAAGCTGTTTTCAGACAAGCAGTAAACACACACTCTAAAGTTTGGTTTTGAACAGATTTTTAATTTGAACTACATTTTCTAAAATATATTAAATAATAAGTGATTTTTTATCCTGCCCTAGTTTTAAGGTTTTAAACCTTTTTTTTTTAAATACTTTTGCAGACAAATGAGCAAAATTTAGTGGTTTGAAGGATAGTGGAAAGTATAAAGATTTCAAATAACAATTAATTAGTATTTTAATGCTATACTATGATCTTTAAATATAGTTATGAACATGTTATCAAATGATTCTTGTTTAAAATATGTCTGACAAAATTCTAAAGTCTAATATCTATTGTTACACTGAATTATATTTTAGTTTATGTCTTCTCATAATCATTGTAAAAAGTCAAGATTCAGTGAGTATCTCCTTAAAATACGGAAAATAATATAAAAAAACAAGTTTATTTTTCTTTTTCACTGTCATATTTTGTTTTAATGAAAAACTGCCTTAATGTTGACATTTTTTGTGAAAACAAGACTATATTTCTTTCTTGTTGTTATGATTTTATGATGTTAAAAAGGAATGCTGTAACATTATGTGAGATAAATGTAATGTGTGTGACAGATTAAGGATGAGGCAGGAATTGATTCAGAATTTAAGCATTTTTTACTCAATGGTTTAAGCAAAAGATGTAACAATAATAATAGACAAAGAAATAAACATTTACAATATTGTCTTTAAACGAAAAAAACAATGAGTGTGAGCCAAATCAGAGAAATTAACAAAACAAAACAATCCTGAAATCTAATGTCTAAACTAGGCGACAAAAATAAATATCGATATCTTCATTCACGACACCCGATCTTAACTAATTAAACTACAAAACTCAAAACTACACAGGGGGCGAAACTCAAACTAATCCTAAAGAAAATCAATCTAAACTAAAACAAACCTTACAAGAAGGTCATAAGGTTCAGTTTAGAATCACACAACAACCATCAAAGCCTTTACTCAAACCCAGCAAAGTTTAACAAGTAAACTCTAATTACCACAGTGAATAATAAATAATAATAAAGATAATAAATCACCTAATAGCCTAAGCATGACAAAACTGCAAAAGTGTGGCGCACAAAGGTATGCTGAGGCAGAGCGCACACCAAACACTGATCTGTAGCAGCTTTAAATCCCCGTGGCTCATCCGGGGATTGGTGGATCTGGCACCGTCAATACAATGATGGACAGTTACCTGACTCAATAAGAAACCTAAGAGTGGAGTGAAAGGCTGAGAGAGAAGGGTGAGGAAAATAAATACACAAAACTAACCTCCAAAACAATATATAGTATAACAAATCTTACTCCCAACCACTTTACTTTGTTTTTTTTCCCTAAACTCAAAGAAGAGACCAATATATATTTTCTGATCCTGTAAGAAAGAAACTGAGGTTTTGCAATGTACGTTTTGATTAGGGATGAAATATACTGGACACATTTGAATATCTGAAAAAACTAAAGTAAATCACACTTCTAGTTTTGATTCTTGAAAATAACACCAGTAAGCGTCTTCAGCTTCATATTTCCTTGTTTTAAATGCCAAAATTAAATTTACTGCCTCTTCCACTCTCTTTTCTCAGGTCCAGTATATCATCTCTCAGGATGGAGTTCAGCATTTGCACCTATGAGAATATGTGCTGGTATCTGATGGTAACCGCATTCAGGTTAGTCTTTGTGCTTTACATCATTCACAACCCAAGAGTCCAGAACTTCTCATGGTTTTTAATGAACAGTTCACTGATGGCTCATCTGATCTGTAACTGCAACCCAAGAAGGACTTTCAACTTCTTGTATGGTCTGTTGGATGTTATGTTTCATCATTATGAAACTTGAATTGCAGATGGGGGACGGGCAAATCACTCACATTCAGTATGAACATGATGGGACGTTTCTACAGGAACAACAGGTTGAGTTCAGAGCCAATACTGGCACACTTGTTTACTTTGTTCATGTTGTAATTACTGTAATTCAACTGTGACATGATTTCTCATGGATACTTGAACTGTTTGTGTTTACTTAGCATTAACAGTAAAATCAATGCATGATGTATGTCTTAACTAAATCAGAAACTTTATTGTTTTGTTTTTTTTTTTCTGGAGGTTTTTTGGTAGTTCTGGTAGTTTCTTAGTTTTTAAGAACAAGTTGTTGAAAATGATCCAGATTTAAATTAATATTGTCTTTGTAGATTACGTGGCATGTAAGTGTAGATTACAGATTACTTAACAATACAACAAAACTATAAACATCATATGTTTGCAGGCACATAGTGTATTTTATAAAGAGAAATTGCCAACTACTGGCCTGACGTGAATAGTACAGCATTTTTCAGCCTTTTTCACAGACTCATCTGAATGGAGACGACAGTTTTGACAAAGCTATCCTGTATTCATTACATTTTTAAAGACAAAAAGGAAAACAAATTTTGCTTGTAGTACATAATTTTTGTTTAAATGTTCCCTGATGTCAGTGTAAATCTCCTCTGTGTTGTGTGTCAGATTGCTCTGTCTCAGGATAGACACCATCGTCACCACCAGACAGCAGGTTGTGGCCCCTGAAGACCTGGAAGCAGTCGCTCATTCAGTGGTCACTGGTATGACCTTTCACCTTTTACCTTCAATTAAAATGCAAAAAACAGAACTATTTTCTACAAGCTTTCATGGCTGCATGAGACTGTAAATAAATGACTTTGTGATATTTAGTTTTTCTGCGATGTTTATATATTGTCATATGAATACCATTTAACCAGATAACTTAAATAGCTTTATTTAGAAAGAATTGTTCATTTTATCATGATTGGGATGTTTTGTTCATGAAGTGGAGTGTATCCACATCAAATATATTAAACAATTTAAAAGCATAGAAAAATACAAAAGCGCAAATATAAAAAATACAATTAAACGGCGCTTTATGGTTTTCTGGGGAGTCTAACAGAATTCGGCACCCAAAAAGTGACTTTTCAGCTTGTTCAAACGACTTTAAAATGAGTTAAAACAGCACCATTTTTGGGGACAACTTAATTATTTTATGTTTAATTCACTTAATTTTATAAGAACGATTACGTTAACTTGTTTTCTATTGGGACAACATGAAGGAATTGTGAGGAAACCAGCATTTTTTACAGTAAGGTACAGAAATTGATCAAACGTAAAATAACATCATACAAATGATTAAACACAAATGCTTCAAATCGATTAAAATCATAAAATATTTCACTCTTATTATGGTTAAATTTTGCTCTGTGTATGTGTGTGTGTAGCTGTTGCAGATGCAGCAATGACCCGGTTTACACTGAAGCCACACCTGAACAACTGCAAGAGCAGGGCATCCAGTATGATGTCATCACTTTTATTGAGGAGTAGAAACACGACACACACAATATTTATTAACAACATCAACACACACACACACACACACACACACACACACACACACACACACAGACACACAGACAGACAGAAGAATATTTGAAGCTTATCTCAGCTCCAAATGAGCATCACAAACTGCGCTGATCATAAGTAACACAAACTTCTTCCACAATCATCAGTCATTTATAAGGTGAATGTACAGTTAGATCCTCTCAAAATATGATTTATGCCTTTGTAAATATTTAAAGAAATGTATCTTTGTGTGCCTATAATGTTTAGTCTTGTAAAGGAAAAAGAAATATGTATAGAGAATCCTGTATTTAAGAAGAATAATGGACATGTCTCTGTGGATGCTGCTTTAATGACAGTCTGTATATACCTGTAGGCTGGAGGATTGACGTCATATTGCTATGAAACAGTTCCTAGCTGTAGCTAAAATGCTTATAAAGAAGGTTTTGGTCATTTGCTGTTTCATCTTTAGCTTCTTCAGTTTTACAGATGTCTTTCTTTAAACATGGCTACAAACAGGAACTTTAAATGCAAGCCAAAGAAATCAAAGCCTCTTTATCTGAATCTAACACTGATTTTCTTGCATTAGTTGTGCTATAATATTGTACAATTCTGGTTTTACAAATCTGTTGTCTGCTGCATTTGATTTAATAATATTTATACTTGTGTACATATTGATTTTTGTTCCTATTCAGTGCCTTATGCATGTATTTTAAGTTGCGTCTGAAATTTCAGATCAGTTATTCAGATCTTTTGTTTGTTTTGTACATTCACTACCAAGAATCCATCAAACTTTCTATTTTTAAAAATGATGTTCAATTTTAAAGCTACTAAGACAAAGACATCTGAACTTCACTATTCAGCTAGGGTCATCTACAATTATACCTTTAATTCAGTCAGAAGTCTTGATGCTCAGCTGTCCTTCAGTGCTCACATAACCTGCATGATTGTGCAAGCTTTGTTTTCTTTACACAAAATTAGAAGGATCAGACACTTTGTAACAGAGCAGGCTGCGTAACTTCTTGTCCAAGCACTTGTGATTTGTATATTAGGCTACTGCAATGTTCTCCAGGCTGAACTT